TTGGGCCCCGCCAAGGCTTCCCGCCGCTGCCCAACGGTCGCGCCCAACGGTCGCCTAGATAAGGAGCTCGCAGGGTGCGTTCCCCACCGCGCCCCTCCCTGGCATATCGCAGCCGGGTCTGGTCGGTTTTCTCTTTGCCGGAAGCAAAAGTGAGATTTAAATGGAGAAGTGAGAAATTAGGCTCCGTAGGAGAGGAGAGGAAGGAGGAAAAAAGAAAAAAAGAAAAAAAAGCTTTTCTCAGATGATTTCATTACTTCAGCATACTGGCTCTGCCAGGACCTTAATGTTTGTTCTTGATCATGCAAAACCATGCGTGTTCTTGACCATGCATTTGTTAGTCATGACATTTGTTACTTTCAGCATTAAAAAAAAAGACTTTTTTCATAATTACTGCAACCTAGTTAGAAGTAGGTCACTTGAAATAATCCAAAATAAATAAGTGGCCTACAAATTTCAAAAGAAAAAGTCACTTGGTAGATTAGACTTCTAATCAATTCCGTCCATCCTTGATGGTGGGGTTTCAAAATGCCATCTGCAGCAGGATATACGAATGACTGTACAGTGATGGACAAATACCCCCGCCACGTAGCTCCACAGCAGCCAGGGCTGTGTGATTTCTGGCCTCAGCAAGTCAAGTGCCTCCTGAAGCGTAAAAGTGTGTTAGGTGGCCACTCACCCTGTGCGTGTGTCAGGTTTCCAGACTTTCCCCTTCCTGTTGCTCCTGGGCATCAGGAGGAGGAACGGAGGGCAGCAGCACCCTTTAAGGGAATGCTGCTTTTTGGAGAATGGCCATGGGCCCAGCTTTGCTCCTGAGAAGGTGGGAAATGCTTTAGGTGAGCAATGCTGCCCTGGTCCCTGCTCCCCTGCAGAGTGCTGCTGGCTGGGGAATGGCTTAGGGAAGTAGGGAGTCCTGCTATGTATGTAAAGTGGGTTGAATCTCTGGCACCCAGGTGAAGAGAGGTCCCTGTGTGATTTGGCAGGGCACAGCTGCCTCCTGCATTTATCCAGGAGCTCCAACTGAGTCAGAAGCAGCACTTCCTCTCCCTGCAGCTGCCACCAGGAGGTCCCTAGGGGACAGGTCCTTCCATTACCTTCCATCACTGTCGTCTTCACCATCCTCTTCCTTGCTCTCTCTGCCTGTAAGATTGGGTTGATGGTGCATGAGAGGTTTGTGGGGGAAAGACTTTGCTTCCTTTCACGGGCCATCTGGAGTTCCTGATGGCTTTTCCTGTCTCCCTTTCCTTGCTTCCTGCAACCTCACTGGTGTCTTTGGAGTGCCCTTCTACCCCTCAGAAAAGCCCCTTCTGTGAGCCGCTGACAAACTGAATTTCACCTGTGCTGTGCCTTCAGCTATTATTAAATTCTGTGGATGTTACAGAAAAATGTATGTTGGGAGGAAAACCACAGCTTACATAGCCCAAACTTGCAGGCTGTGTCTCGTATCTTATAGACATTTAGTAGTTATAGAGGGAATGTAGGAGTTGAATGTGGGTGTCCTTTTATAAAATTTCTGCAGCAAAAATGCTTTTTCAAAGCCTTGTGTCATATATATTCTTATTATTAGCATACTGTTTGTGCCCCTAACACCTTGAACTAAAGAGCCAGACCTTTGATTATGAGGGAAGGTAGAGTTAGGGTTCAGAGGAGGATTTCGAGGATGAAGGCAACCCTGACGATGGTAGTAAGGGATGTTTACTGCCTCTCCTTTGTCATATATACTTTGTCAGAACGCTTTGGCTGCTGCTTCTACAGGAGGGGTTATACTAGCATATTATGACTGGCCAGAATAGCGTGTACTCCCTGTCCTGTGTCAGGGACATCTGTGCAGCCCCCACCCTGTTTCACTGAACATGGGAAGGAAACCTATGAGACTTTCAGAGGGACTCTCTGGAGCCCATCAGAGCTGTTATTGTTGCAGTCTTCGCAGAAAAGGTCCCAGTGCCATCCCTTCCGGGTGGGTTATGTAGAGCTCTGTTGGAGGCAATGCAGTTGCTTGGCAGCCAGCGCTCTTCAGCTAAGGCAGCAGCAGTGGCAGCAAAAACCTTCCTGGACTGTCAGCCTGGACGAATGTGGATATCTGCAGAGGCTCATGAGCAGGTGAGCTCAAATAACTTGGCATCTTTCCTGAGGTTAGGCTTATCTCTGGCAGAGCTTCAGGGCAACCACTTAGATTTAGTGATGTAAAGTTCCCTCTCGATGGCTAGCTTGTACGGTATCTGCCTGATAGAAGTGAAGAACAGTTAAAAAAAGAACTGCTAAGCCATGAGTTGCCTAGAAGCTGTCAAACCAGCTGAGCAGAGTGCAGATTGGCACTGAAGATTAAATAGAAGCTAAGTCTGACAGGTTTGTGGAATCTAGTGAAGCAGTGTGTAGCTGAGGTAGCTTTTGGAAATGTCGCCTGTGACACAGGTGATTCTTAATCTAGAATACTAGATTAGATATTCTAGATTCTTAATCTAGAATACTAGATTAAGAAGACCATATGGTTCTGTAAGAATACTGTAAGGCTTTACTGTTGCGTGGCTAGTTTCCATTGTTTTCTAAAAGCAGGCAATAAACCATATCACTTCCATTAGGCACAGAAGCTCCATTTGCAGTGAGTTAATAACATTAGCATTGTGCAACTGGTTTTAAAGCTACTCTTGTGTGCCTAAAATAACATCCCAATCTTCCATTTTCTTCAAATTGGTTTAATATATCCACTTAAGAATATGCAAACGTCCTCAGGAAAAAGACTGAGGCAGTGGAGTTCTGAGTTCAGACTCTCTTCTGAAGCAGAGCCAATGGGGGCCAAAGCTATGAGGACTGGATAAGGCAATAATGAACAGAGAAGAGAATTCAGAGAACCCGTGCTGAAGAGGTGGTTGTGACCCAGAGTAGCAGCGGAAAGCAGACCATGTCCAAAGCCAGACAAAGCTGTTCTCAAAAAGGGATAACACAATAAAGAGTGGTTTTGGATGCCTGTAGAAATCAGCTGTGACATCCCACGCAGAAGTCTAAGCCCAGGAAGTGTGCTCAGATAAAGGGATGTCTAAAAGGGAAAGTTTCAGTGTTTGGGTCCAAATGCACTGTCTGCTAAGCATCCAGGGGTCACTTTTGACAAAAGCTGCTAGCTTCTAATAACAACCGCAGCCCTTCTAAAGTTATCTCCAAATCATTCCAAAGAGTGAATTGACTACTGCGAGATTTGGGACTCTGATTCCTAAATATCCTTTCAAATAAAATAAACCATAACATTAATGATCAGAGCGACATTTCAAACATCCAGTGAGTTAGGCACTGCACTCCCAGTGATTCAGAACCCATAAAGTACTCCACACTGGATCAATAACTTTACTTCTTCATTGCATCTCTTTCAGCAATTTGCCAAAGAACAGAGCAAGCACTTAACCTGCCATTTTTTGTCTCTTCTTTGTTTATGTATCTTTTTGTAAAATTTATTCATGCAGACCTAGAGAAGGTTTAGAAGTTTAAATCTCAAGATAGGTGAACCGGTTAAGATTTGTCACAAGTTCTTTTAGTTTAACTGTGTTTCATGTATGAAATTTCCTCTTTTTCTTGGTTTTGGTTGCAATTCAGGACAGAACTGTAAGGGAACCTGTTTAAGACCCTAAATCCCACTGGACTGAATAATGCTTATTCATACTGCTTCCACTGAAATACATAATCAAGTGTGTCTCGAATAGGGATGTTTTCCTAAACGGAGGCATTTCAGGTACTCCATAAATACATGGTTTAGTATTTTACTGATCTGGATAATTAAATGCATATAATACATACAGAGTATACAAGTTGAATGTGATGTTGTATTGGGAACGTGGCTGTATGGACGTTGTATTGCCAACAGAGATGGAAACTCCACCTGAAGAAGATCTAGATAAAAGGTTGCTGAGGGATTTTCTAGGCAAGAATGGTTGTCGTTGCCTAGCAGGCTGTGAATCCTGTAAATCCCTGAACTTTGCTCACTACTTTGAATTATCTTTGAATGAATATTAAAATACCTGTATTGCATATTCACTTGCAGGTGGTCCACTAAATAAAGGTAGCCACAGACTACACGAGGGCCTGCTGGATAAAGGAAAGGTTGTTACTTGCAGAAGAAGAGCCATTCAGGTAGAGTAAGGAACAGTGAAACATTTTAGACTAACTAGGGAGGATGCATAAAGACTTTTTTGTAACAGAATTTTCTCATTTAAGCAATTTCCCGGAGATGCACAGAAGATAATTTCTTGAACCTGCTGCAGCTGTAAAATTTTTGGACGCAGCCAAAAATTATATTTGTGTTCACAACACAGGTATGTATCCCCCAAATGTGGAAAAATGGCATTGCTTTACCCTTTTCGAGGAAAATGTGTGCTTTATCAGAAATGGGTGTTTCACAGAAGAATGAAATGTCACTTTTAGGTCACTAAGGTGAAGTTCACTGAGAGGACCATAAACCACAGAGGAGAAGACCCATTTCTCCATTTTCAGTATTTTTTGACGTGAACAAGCAAAAGGTGAAGGAAAGCCAAATGTGAACTTTGAAAGCTATGCTGTTTCACTCTGCTCCGTTATAAGCTTGTATATATTAAATTACAGGGATTTTGGTATGTGTGTTAGAGCTTGAAGAGGCTTACATTAAACGTGGAAGGAAGAAGACCAAGTCTTTGTTGCATTACTGGGAGTGGTAGGCCATTACTGCAACTGATATTATCTCACAGGAAGATTTACCTGGGATATATGGAACAAAAAATGGCCGTGTATGACCCCTTCTAAATTCTGTGTATTTTATGCAAAGGGGTGACCTGATGGTATACAGGTGCAATAAAGCAGTACAGAGACAATTCTGTGCTCACTATGGGGCAAAGTGTATTTTAAAATTACTCCCCATCATTTTCATCTTCAAATGAGTCAGTTCCCACTTCCTCATAATCCTTCTCCAGGGCAGCCAGGTCTTCTCGGGCCTCTGCAAATTCTCCTTCCTCCATGCCTTCCCCCACATACCAGTGCACAAAGGCTCTCTTGGCGTACATCAGGTCAAACTTGTGGTCGAGCCTTGCCCAGGCCTCTGCGATGGCTGTGGTGTTGCTCAGCATGCAGACTGCTCGCTGAACCTGGGCCAGGTCTCCTCCAGGAACTACTGTAGGAGGTTGGTAGTTGATCCCAACCTGGAAACAGGAATATGAGAGAAGGAAGAAAAAGACAAGAGCAGAAAGCGGAAGTCAAAGCGTGGAAAAATATGAACAGAGATATAGATGCTGGGGCAGAGTTGTGCAGGAGCACTGTAGCCACTAAGAAAATTACCAGATGGCAAGTGCAGATATGGTATATGGTGGTTGTAATTATCTCTGTTATTTTTCTGTTTACTGTACGATGGCAACTTCCTAGCTTTCTGAATAGCTACTAAGCACTGAACATATGGTTTCATCAAGGTATTCCATATAAGCTAATAGAGAAAATTGTTTCCCAGTTAGAAGTGTTCAGATTTCTTAAGCTGTGTTTTTGCATGACAAATATTTTTCCACTGCTAATGTCTGTGTTAGTGTGGAAATGATGCCTCCCAACACTGCTATGTAAAAACAGTGGAGGGAGGCTTTATAATGTTTCTAGGTCAGATGGGTTAACTGAGAGGTTCCTTAATATCAGCCTTTCCTTTACTGAATATATTTTAAGCAGTATTTCCTTAGTTTTAGGTGATGCTTCAGAGGAGACTCTCACTGTCTTTTTCAAAATTCAGCTGAAATTAATAATTGTTTGAATTTTAACTCTCCTACAATTGGGATTTTCTAGATTTCCACTTACATAAATATTTAAGAGTCTTGTGTCAATGGCATGTCCAAAGGAGAAATGGCACATTTTATACACACAAATATTCCTAACATTTGTTTTTCTCACAAGTGGAAAGCATGCAGGACGTAAAGTTTTAAATACAAGTTTTCAGCTAGACTGAACTTGCCCTTTAGACGTTACAGAGAAGCACGCTCACCTTGAAGCCTGTTGGACACCAGTCCACAAACTGGATAGCTCTCTTGGTCTTGATGGCAGCAATTGCTACGTTGACGTCTTTGGGAACTACGTCACCACGATACAGCATGCAGCAGGCCATGTACTTGCCATGTCGCGGGTCACACTTCACCATCTGGTTGTTGGGCTCAAAGCAGGAGCTGGTGATTTCTGCCACCGAGAGCTGCTCATGATACGCTCTCTCGGAAGAGATGATGGGGGCGTAGGTCACTAAGGGGAAGTGGATGCGCGGGTAGGGTACCAGGTTTGTCTGGAACTCGGTCAGGTCCACGTTGAGGGCACCATCGAAGCGCAGCGAGGCGGTGATGGAGGAGACAATCTGGCTGATGAGGCGGTTGAGGTTAGTGTAAGTCGGGCGCTCAATGTCCAAGTTTCGGCGGCAGATGTCATAGATAGCCTCGTTATCGACCATGAAGGCGCAGTCCGAGTGCTCGAGGGTGGTGTGCGTGGTCAGGATGGAATTGTAGGGCTCCACCACAGCGGTGGAGACCTGGGGAGCAGGGTAGATGGCAAACTCTAACTTGGACTTCTTTCCATAGTCCAGGGAGAGGCGTTCCATCAGTAAGGAGGTAAAGCCAGAGCCAGTGCCCCCACCAAAGCTGTGGAAAATCAGGAATCCCTGTAGCCCTGAGCAGGCATCAGTCTAGAAAGCAAAAGAGAAAATGAAAGAATACAGACTGAACATAAATGTAAATGCTACATCTCTGAGCTATTAATGAGCTTAATCTGAGATCAGGAGAAAGCAGTCAGGAGTAATATACAGAACAAGAGTTCAGCTCAGGTTTTCTTGGGAAAGGGCTGGTGATCATCCTGTCTTTTGACCTTCAGGAGCTCAACTCATGGCATAAAAATTGACTTTTATCTGTGGAGCTATCTCTGAACGTCACATGTCTGTTAGGTAGTCTGGCTGAAACCAAACCTGAGGAACTACCTAACTCGCCTTGCCATATCCGTATTGGTGCTCTAGTGCTGTGCTAAAGATGAAGAATTGTATATTCAGAACCACCTTTTAAGTTTATCTGTATGTAGCCATACAGCTGAGAAGTGAACTATAGGGCTTTTCTCTCTTGGACTAGTAATGATGCCTCTATATATCTTGCAGTCTCTTTTCTGAACCATTGGTAGCACTTCTGGTTAACAAGTTATTGGTTCTGCACCTCTTCCTTCAGCAGAATGCAAACTGCTATTTCAAAATTACTGGGACTTACCAGTTTACGAATACGATCAAGTACCGTATCAATGCTTTCTTTGCCAATGGTGTAGTGGCCACGTGCATAGTTATTAGCTGCATCTTCCTTTCCAGTGATCAGTTGTTCCGGATGAAAAAGCTGCCGGAAAGCACCAGCCCGCACTTCATCTGCCCACGAAAGAGAAATTGTGATAAGCTGAGTGGGTCTGCTCCAAGGCTAGCAAGTTCTGTTTTTTGTTGGCATTGATGCAAGCTTTCAGTCATGGGATGACCCAAAAAACAGATGCTGAAGGAAAAGGAAAAGCTGCTTCCTAAGCATTTTTTCATTTTAGCATTTTGTTGATTTATGAACTGACTAGTCTCCAGCCATAAAAGTTGTTCTTTTGCCTGCACTGACCAGAGGACAAGTCACCAGAAAAAAAAGGAGAGGGGGGCATTTGCAAGATGAAAATCAGGGTTCCCCCAGGTGTCCCAATTTTCAGAAATTCCCCTTTTCCTAGCAGAACTGTCAGGCTCCCACTTCAAATCTGATCTGGAGAAAAGCAGCATTAACATGACAAAAATGTCACTATAAATGTGGCCAAGAGTTAGTTTTTCTACAAAGAGAAGTCATACCAATCATGTGCACTAGCTATTTAACTGCTGTTTCCCACTAACTCGGAATATACCAAACTAAAACTATAGCTGAATTCTGAAATTGCTGGGGATCCTGCTCTTCCTATGCTTGTAACACCTATGGAGATAATTGAGTCATGACAGAATCTGGTACTCTGTGTCACAAGAAAATTAACTTTATGCTATCCAAATGTAGACCAAGATACAAAGGAGATTCTTCGTTGTTCCAGTGGAGACTGATGACTCACCGTGGTGACATTAGGAAGCGTAAGCTCTGTTCCGTTTTCCAGGTTTATTTCTATACTGACCTACTACGGTTGGTTCCAAGTCCACCATTACAGCCCGCGGCACGTGCTTCCCAGTGATGGTTTCGCTGAAAAAAGTGGTAAAAGAATCATCGTAGTTGAGTTTATTGGGCAGATTCTTGAAGGTGCCATCTGGCTGAATGCCATGCTCCAGGCAGAAGAGTTCCCAGCATGCATTTCCTATTTGAACTCCAGCCTGACCAACATGAATAGAGATGCATTCACGCTAAGGGGAGAGAGCAGAGAGAGAGTCAGGAAAAACAATGCACATCACTCCTCCTTATTCCTAACAGTTACTTTTACCTGATGTATTGCTTTTCAGAAATACTTAAAATTGTAGCTAGCAACGTTTCATTTAGTTGTTCAACAACATGGACTACAATCAGACTGCACAAGTACAGGCCAGAGACTGGAGCAATTTTTCTGAAAAAAGTGGAGATCCATGTGCTGTAATATATGGGTATATTAAAAAAGGAAAAAAAATCAGTTGCACAGAACCCTCCTCGCCTCCTATGGATTGTCATAGCCGAGGAACACGTCCCATTTTCGTTTATTTTTATTCCTGGCTGGAACCTGACACAGCCTTGTGGTATTTTTCAACCTTATGTAACCCAAGACGGGGGTGTCTTTTGATCTCTTTACCCTCTGATAGCAGGTTAGAGTGGAAACTTGGAAGAATTGCTTTAAGCAATATTCACTTCGGGAAATGATTTCAGGTTTTCTCAGCTGAAACAAATATTCTTGCAAGCTCCTAAACAGCCTTGGATCTTACCTTGCAGGTCCACTGCTTGCTCAGACAGTGTCGTTGCAATATAATGTGCTTATTTACATAATTTTGAGCATAGTTCCCGTGGTAGCCAAGGACTTCAGGGAAAAGAAGACAAAGAATGTAATACCATGCTAAACTAGGCAGATGCCATTTGCTCTGAAAGCCTTCACGCTTACAGTACAGGATCATGAAGGTCCTGGTGCTGGATTTTGCAAGTTCAGAAATAAAATTATAAAGCAGATGTTCTGAGTTGGTCCTGACAATTTTGACGCAGGGTGAAGTGAAAAGTAGTTTTATAACTGAAAACAGTTTCAGATCACATGGAGTTTTTCAACTTCAGGTTCTGATTTGAAGCAATTGTACTTTCAGTCTTCTGGGCTCCATGTTTGTGATTTCAATGGCCCTGTCTATACTCATGAATAAGGAAGAGTCCGGTCATAATATTGAACACTGGCCTGCAGTCATCTATACTGATTGAAATTCAGCACACTCTCTAGCATAGTTTTGGCTTTTGCCAGCTAACGCTTTCCCAGACAATACTTGAGCATCATTCAGAGGACAGCTCACGCCAAGGCTGGTTCCCAGTGAAGCAGTTTGGTGACCACTGTCGTGGTTTGGAGAGGGAAAGA